TTCACCATGTTGACCAGGATGGTCTCGATCTCTTGACCTGGTGATCCACCCGCCTCGGCCTCCCAAAGTGCTGGGATTACAGGCGTGAGCCACTGTGCCCGGCCTATGTATCTTTCTTGATGCCGCTGAGTGAAGCCCACAACGTGCAGAGCAGTCAAGTTGTTTTCCTCCCTGCTGCACTCCAAGTACCAAAACTGGCGCTGAGAGCCACAGCACGTCAGGTGGTTGTTGTCACCGAGCATAAGGCCTCAGTGTGCTCCTAGGCGAAGCAAAGACAGCTACATTTGAAATGATAGGAGCCTCAGTATTGATTCTGTGATGCCCCACGGCCACTTGAGCCGCATCCTAAATAGCACAGAAACAGAAAAGCCTTGGATGGGTGCGGTGGCTCACGCCTGTAATCCCAACACTTTGAAAAGCCGAGGTGGGAGGATCACTTGACCCCAGGAGTTTGAGACCAGCCTGGGCAATATAGAGAGACCCCATTTCTACTAAAAAAAAATGACCCGAGCGTGGTGGTGCATATCTGTAGTCCCAGCTACTCAGGAGGTTCTCTTGAGCCTGAGAGATTGAGGCTACAGTGAGCCTAGATGGTGCCACTGCACTCCAGCCTGCGCAACAGTGAGATGCTGTCTCAGAAAAAAGAAAAAAAAGGGCTTTTATTTCCAGCGGCCTACCTTTCTGACCCAGATGCTGACAGCACAGTGCATGGGGCCACCTCTTGCCTGCCCTTTCTTCCCGGTCGCATACGGATACCAAGATCCTAACTATTGCTCACTCAAGTTGAGTAACTAACCTGGGTACCCTGGGCAAATCTCTCCGGATGTGATCTTTAATTCCTTAGCGGCTGGGACAGTTCTCAGGTTTGATATGACTTTTTCACCCTGGAAAGACCCTGACCAAAGAGGCAAGTTTCTGGGAACCTCTGTCCGCTGAGACATACTTGGTCAGCACTCAGTCCTGGAGGAAGCTGAGTGGGGTGCCCTCCTGTGGGACCTTAGGGCCGTGGGGCTGCCTGTCGTCAGGGTATTCTCTCAGCACCCCATATTGATGTGTTCTGAGAGACGTGTCAGGGGCCCTTTGTACCTTCTGGCCTGGGGCAGGCAGAAGTCTGGCCACGCCTCCTAGACTTAGCCGGATGGGGGTGTGTTGGCCTCTCCTGCCAACTGGGAGCTGAGAATAGCGGAATAGGGTCAGGGGGTGATGGGAAAAGCACCACTTGGCTGCTCTCCTGGGCGATGGGGCAGTGAACAGGGGAAATGTGATGGGGGAGGTGCTGTAGAAATGGGCGGTTTGGAGAAGAACTTCGTGTGTTTTGCTCCTATTTTAGAACTGGTGTCGTCATGAGGCTTTACAGGCTGCATTCCCTGTGCAGGACACAAGGAAGGTGCTGGCCACTCCAAGTGGCCAGGCCTTAACAGAGTGGGTGGAGATCCCGCCGCTGGTGCCTGGCGCCTCGGGGATGCAGTGAAGACCAGCCACAGACAGCTTTGCTTGAGCAGTTGCGACTTCTCTGTGTCACAGAATAAGTGCAGTTGGCTCTTAGCAAGGGGGCTTTGTGGTGAGCAGAGGAGCCGGGTGGGGGTGCTGGCTTGTCCATCAGGAAGTTTCAGAAGCTCCTGCTGAAAATTCCTTCCTCTTTTTGTGTGGTTCCCCCAGGGGATGACATGGGGGCGGCATCTGCACTATGTAGCCTGTTCTTGGGGCAGGGCTTCCTAGGACAGATAGTACACACAGGGAGGGCAGTGTGTCCCTTGGCTTCATTCAGGAAATGCAGCTCCGCCCCATGTGCCTGACACATTTTACAACGTGTAGAGAGCAGAGAATGAAACCCACAAGGCTCCCTCCTCAAGAGTGAGTTCTGGTTGGGGAGACAGCATTAGGCAGCAGGTAAGGAGTTGGAGTGCCAGTGGGGCTGGGGTCACGGATGCTTCACTGAGATTGTGATATTTGAGTGGAGACTGATGGAGTAAAGGAACCTTGGGGTGTCTGCAGTGAGTTCATGGCCAAGGGCAAATGCCAGGGTCCTGAGCACATCTGGACCTGAGTGGGCACAGGAAGTGAGGTCAGAGCAACGTGGGTGTTGCAGGGCCATGGCTGGGACTGCCCAGGTGGGACATGGGGAGGGGGCAGACAGGGGTCAGTGCCCTGGGTGGCTCGGGCCTGGCGATGCTGAGAAGGCCTGGATTTTGGACATCCCTGCAGGTGAAGCAGATGGGATTTGCTGATGGTTTGAAGCGGGATGTGAAAGAAATAAGGAATCTGGGATGGTGTTGCTGTGTCTGGCCTGAGCAAGGTTTGAGACCCGAAAGAATTAAGTTGCCATTACTGAGATAATGTGGAGTGAAAGGTTTTCCATGGTAGTGAAGTGTTGGGGTTGGCTTGGACAGTTGGCTTGTGGTGACCGCTTGTTGTCCACACACACTGCAACTGGGGTGCTGTGGGCATCTGCAGAGTGCAGGGAGGTGGGCACTGTATGCTTCTCACCACTGGAATGCTCTGGGAGGACTTGGCACTCCTTCCCTGTCCTCCTCTCCGTCTGAGACAGGCACTGTAGTGCCTGGCTGTGCACTTGTGACTAGTCTTCATCAGGTGTGCAGGGCAGGCCCGTCACAGGGAAGATGTACTTTGGGTGTCGGATGTCTGCCAGGGGTCTGGAAGGGCAGGGGCCTGGGTTAGAGTGTCTCTATTGCACTGAGCCTGCAGGACAGACCTAGGGCTTTTCTCAAGCCCTAGCAGTCTGGTTGGACTGTAGATTCCAGGGCTGGCCAGAAATAGATTTCTTTTTTTCTTTCTTTTCTTTTTTTTTTTTTTTTTGAGAGAGAATCTTGCCCTGTCACCCAGG